TCCTCTCCTGCTCGTGAGGGAGCTGGCAGTTTTGTACCTGTCACTAGGTCACTGCTGAGCGCCAGCAACCCTGGCTCTGATGAACACTGAACACCTTGCAAATCCTTCAAGTCACTACATGCCTCTTGCCTTCAACCACCCTTTCTCCTGTGACCTGCACAGAGACCTTCCCTGCTCTCTGTGTCACTGCACCAGCCCGGAGGGTACGGCACCAACATCCCCCAGGGACGGAGCAGCACAGCAAGTCACTGTATTGAAGGGGAAGAGGGGCACATGAATGAATATGCAGTACCCTCTGCTCTGCTTCCCCCTGGGACTTCACGGAGTGGCTGACACAGCCATCATAGGCAACCTGCTATCAAACAGGGTCTACTCTACCCAATAATGAGATTAAAATAGCAATGAGCCTGAGATTAGCATCCAAGATAGAGTCGCTTGCTGTCAGCACAGCAGAGAAGACTCTCCAGTTTAATGCACAATGCCTAGTGACAAATGAGACACAATCAATAGCAGAGGTCATTGCTCACCCGGCTGGAAAGCACCCGCCAGTGTGACAGGGAAGAATGGGGGCAGATTTGGCCCCTTCTTCACTGGGGGGGGTAGAAGTGGATGTGTCCCGACTGGCAGAACAGTTAGGCTGCGCTTTCAACATTTTTCCTGGCATGTCTTTCTCACTTTGAACCGAAACGTGTAGGATTAATGCTCCTTCTGCAAGGGAGAGGAGATGGGAACGCAAACCCATTTCCATTAAACCCTCTGGTTGACGGAAGACTTCAGGTGTGAATTGGATAAATGTCACTTAAATCCTACATGATGAATTACTAGCTGTAATAAGCCATTAACGGATGCCAAATTGATTTAATTCAGAAACGAGATCTCACTTTTATCAACAGAGGAAGAGCAGAGAATAACCCGGGGGGGACTCGGGGGCTCGGCAGCGCGGGGCTCCGCAGAGACAATGACTCGCGGGGAAAAGCTTCCTTCACCCCACGGACACTTTCCGTGGCAGCTCTGGCTCCGCGCCGGGACCGACCCCCGGGGGTACGCGGGGGGTTTAGCGCCGGGACCTACCCCCGGGGTACGCGGGGGGGTTTAGAGCCGGGACCGACCCCCGGGGTACGCGGGGGGCTCAGCAGCGCCCTGCGGGAGGGACGGTGCCTCTGTCCCAGGCGACTTCTCTTCCAGGGAGGGGGAGAGCCGTCGGTGGCAGGAGCCCGCAGCAGCCCCTGAAGTAGCGGGGACCTGCAGTCGGGTGCGGGGCACAGACCCCCAGCGCACCCCGCGCACCCCGGCAAGGCGCACGGCGCTGCACGTCGCGCCGAGGGCGAGCCGGCCGGCAGGAC